CCCCCCCCCCCCCCCCCCGCGTCATGGTTCCTGATTAATCCGGCCGTAGAGTCACCATCCAAGCTGAGAGTTGAACATGCCAAATTTGGGTGGAATTCATTTTTGATCTAGTTTAGTATTTTGTGTTGATTTCAGTGTGTGCATATTTTTCATACTAGTTCCAGGTTATGACATGCTATAGCTTTTGAAATGTGAAACTAGGTAAGGATTTTAGAAATCTTTTTTCATGACTCAATTAAATTAGAAGCGTTGAATGTTTTGTCTGCTTGTTTTCTTGTTACTCAGGTTTTAGCTGGATAACTAGTCGTCTTTGATTCAACTAATAGTCTCAGCATTTTTTATTGGTCCGTTATTCACTTGACTTTCGGTGTCAGCAGAGTATCTCTTGGAGAGAGTCTAGATGCTATTAAAGGTTCTTTCGACTTCTAGCAACAACTTGACAGTAATCCTGCATGACAGAGCGGGTGTATTGTGGCACAAAAATGGTTTACCGGGAAAGTTGATCTGATAACGAGTCAGGAATGCCGGAAAAGGCAGAAGCAATATTTTGTTTATTTGCATGCGTATGGTACGGCTAAGAACTTGGGATGTTTTGATTTTGTCTACCAGAATGCAAATAATATATTGACTGTAAGACTTCCAATTTTTTAGCGTTCCATAAGTCGTTCTAGAATATTTATCTTTTTCCCAGAAGGCATTTGAGGTGCCTAGAATCAAGTAATGGTCACATAATCATACTCGCGATAAATTTCTACTTGAGAACTTCTAGCCTACGATTTGTTCAAAGCCTGACAACTACTACTTCAAAGAAAACATCCAAAGATAATAATACATAGCAAGCCAACCAGAAATCTTATACCAAATGCTAGAGTAAGAGTTACTTGTATCTTCTTAAGATAAGATTCTCTGTTTTATTTTCTACGTTTAACAAGTTATCTATTGACATAATCAATTCAACGGGCATGCATTACTACTGGCCATCTTTACATACAATCAAGGGAGAGGAAATGAAGCTTCTATGCTCTCTCTAAACCCTGTTGAAACATGACAATCACCAGGGTCGCTAGAGATGCATAGACTGAATTCGGCAACTTCTGCACCACCTTCCCAATGCCTGGGACATTCTCTGTTGACCTCTTTGTCAGCAAAGCAATTGTTGGGGCAACTGCCAGGGTAGTTATTAATCCCTGACTCACAGTGATGAACGTATCCTTGGTTATCCTGTGCATGAACTTCACAAATTCTTCACGATCCAGTTCACCATCGAAGTTGATATCACTCTCCTGCACAGAAGAAATCAAACTAGAATACATAGAGACAAGGAAACGACAATATTTTTTTCATTGATACTTTGTATTAGAACAATGTGAAATATCTTTCATCTTATTAGAAGTGAGAGCAATAATTCCGGCCTGTCTTTCACTCCCCAAATATCAACTGCTACGCCAGATCAACATGAAAGATGGCCCCATTTCAAACCCACCACAGGCTATAGCAAATCCAAATTGTAGTCATCTAACTTGCCTGAGAACCACATGGTTCAAACAAAGAATCAATAATCACCAAATTTCCTGGGCCACCATCCTTAATTCATTTTCCTCAGATAATTTAACAACAAAATGTAATTAACCTAACAGTAGACAATTATATCAATTTTGAGTATGTTGTGATGCAAATAAGAGATCCAACTAAATATTGTAAAACATTTTGTTATATCATCTAGTTTTTTCAAGAAAGCAAGCTTATCCATGAAAAAAAACCCAAATAAGCACATATGACTTGTTGGGCAAACCCTAGAATCAACACAGCGAAGGGCGTGAACTATCTATTATATCTAAGTATGTCTATTTAGTTATTTAAAATTCCAGAAATAAAGAAATAACTGGCATTTGATTGCATGTGTTCCAATATGAGAAGTTATGAAAATAATGGTGGTAGAAACACATTAAAATTAAAATTTTAATAAATAGTTGAGAAGACAGTAAAATGGGCTGTACTGCCCTCAAACGGCAACTGCTGGTTATGGACCAAACTAATACTGTTCAAGTCAAAGTCAGCTTGAGTTATGCATTCTATCATTTATGAAATCTACATATACATAAATATAATTGTAACTTACAATCATATTGTAAATATCCCGTATATGGTTGTCCCACGGCAGGTGTGGGGATTCCTAATTTGCGCATGAATTTGGATATTTGCATAATTTTGGATGAAGTAGAAAAATAGGCCTAGTAGTTACCTCTTAAAAACTACAATTTGGTTCATGTCTGACATTTGGTGATGGATGTACGCAACAAATTGAATCAGAACAAACTTTATGGATTATTGGTGTGAGTAGCTCACTGTATACCATGAGGTCTTGAACCATATGATGGTAGCTGGCAAAGACGTTGGGTTCATATAGGGCTAATATACACAGGTGACTGCCAACTTATGAATCAGAATTCCGTATTTAAATTGTAGCATAGGTACACATTTTGGACCAAGCAAGAATACTGACCCAAGTATGTAGGTTATCAACCTATTACTCTGGTTACCTCTGCAGACTGCAGTGAAATTGAGTCTCAGAGAGAGAGAGAGAGAGAGAGGGGACTTTCATCTTTTATCATGGTGAATTCCAAGTAATTCTGTAACTCCGTTCTAAAATGAGGGATTGAGTCTCAATTCAACAGACTGAAATGGGGCACTTAGATCCAAATATGCTTGAGATTCTTTAAGCCATTGATTGGAAAGGTACCCAATATCAATAAAAAATCCTCAAGGCTATATAGTACAAATAAATCTTCAAGTTTTACCAATCAATATAAAATCAAATGGATACATTATACATAGGTTTATATTAAGACAAAAAGACTCTTTTAGACTTGATGGTCAAATCACCCACAATTGAAAATTAATAGAGTTCTCAATGGACAAGCAGCAGGATTGGTGACCATGAATGTACAGGAGATCCCGCTAGATATAACAAATGAAGAAGGAAAAATAACTCTACCTGTCCTGAAAAAAAAAAAAGTGCCTTAGGTGCATGTTTGGTGACCAGATATGATTGGATAGTATAATGACCAAACAACTTGTTTTCTTCAGTTGAATACTATCCAATCCTCTTACCAAATATGTCTTAGTGGTCAAACATTGAGAAAGAAGTGTAGGGCCACATTAAGTTCATAATAAGAATCACCACCATCTCTGCACTTAGATTTTCAATGATTAATTGCTGCTTCGTAATTTATCGCAAGTAGTGCTCTTAAATCTTTACGTTAAATAAATTAGATATGTCTATATATATACCTGCATTCAGAAATCTCACATGAAGAATAAAAAACTCTATGACATACCTGCATCAGAATCTTAATTTCCTCCTTCGTGGGAGGATCAAAATGAGGCCCAGGTAAACGCTTATTAATATCACTACAACATGGAAACAGTTATATACAATAATTAGTACCCAAAAGTAAGTTGATATAAATACAAATAATATGCAGGTAAAGCATCTTACTTGTACACAAGTAGAACAGCAATATGGAGCTCCTCAAATGTCATACTGGCCTTTCCAGATTCATTCTTATAATGATCAAAAATTTTGTCAGTTATCTTTCTAATCTGCTTTTCTTTCCATTCATTACCTGCATGAAATACAAACATGCACAAGTATACATGAGGTCAGGGGCAGAGCTAGAAGAAAATAATTGTGGGGGGCAAAATTTGAAAATTATGAGGACTTTTTTGAAAATCTTGAAAAAACCTTGGCAAAATAACATATTTGAAATTTATTGCAAATCCGCCACTGCATGAGATAGAATTATGTTATTTGACTAATGGATGTTGCTGAATACACAGTCCACATCTAGGAAAGAAAATCACATATCAGTAAATTTGTAAATGTATAAAGAGTGTCTAGATGCATACATTTTGTCATGTCCAATCATGGAACAACCCAATAAGTTTCCACTAGGCTCAAGCCAGTAACTTTCAATGTCAAACAGGTGATTTGCATGTATTTAAACTGACTCACGCGAGCTAAAATTCCCAGTTCACTTTCCCCTACTACCATGTCGTATAAATTATAAAGTGTTCCAATCAGAGAAAATCATTTCATCAATACATCCAGAATCTTCTCTACAGAATACCCTAAGTCCACAACACTGCTAGTACTAGATATTACTAAAATTAACTTGATGTTTTCATAGTTCGAGATTTATCGTACGAAAATTAGCTCCTGTATAAAATTGCAAAACGAGGTTTTAACAATAGAAATTAAGACCCAATATGCAAACTAAATTTCAAAGTACTAATCCAATAAACAACTTAACAATAAATACAAGGAAGAAGGAAAGACCAGAAAGCTAATAGTTCACCCTTGTATAGGTTATAAAGGATTTAATTTACCAACATAACAAGATGGATGAAACATGTTTAGCTGGGAATCAGCAAAACTGGAAAAGAGAATTCTATTCAAGTTACTATTTGTATTATAATAGATAACAGACAGAAGTATCAGATATTGACTTGAAAAAGCCAACAGAAATGGCTTATTTTATAGTGATTGACCGAAGTTTCCTTCAGCTATTAGAGATCAGATTTATACTTTCTCAATATTCACTTAGCTATGTACAAGAAAATATGGCCTGCTAGCGTGTGTAGTTCAGATGTCAAAGTTATGTGCAAAGCATTTGAGTACGCATCACGTTTTAATTTTAAAAGACCATCAGAGACCAGCCAGATAGTGATTTGAAATTGAACCAAACAATTATTTCAGGCTTCCTAGTAATTTATTTTCCTCACACGAAATTGAAACTTTCACCATCATCCAAAGGATTAAAATTAACGGGAGGATGTAAAAGCATAGAAAAAAAATCTTTATAACAGATAATTTCTTTTCCATCAGTTTTGGGAAAAGAATGCCTAATTAATTCTTATATTTTCCATCGACACCTTGTTCTGCTAGTTGATTAGAAAGTCCAACAACCTAAGCTCAATACACCCTATAACATACCATTTCCATTAATACTGAAATAAACATTTACTAAAAGAGCTTATTGAACAAAAAGATGCTCCCAAACTAACCAATCAGCACTATTTGGCATCTGCAGTTACATATTCAAGAGGACTCAATAGTCTTGCAATACTAGACCAGTGAGGTAGACAATGAATTACAGTATTGAAATGGACTACTAACAGATCCAATAATATAAATAACTTTCCCATAACAGTCAAACCTTGATATAATTAGACAGAATAAAATTTCATTTCCGAAACAATTCATCTTGAAATTGAAATAAATACACACTATAACAATGCGTAAAAAATTGTATAAATCAAAACATAAGATCGACTGTAACATATATTTATCCACGCGATAAAAGAATGATAAATCGTTGCAGCATCGAAAGTCAACAAAGAGATGCAAGCCACCACGATACAATATAAAGCAGAAAACCAAATCAAGTGTAGGTCTATAAGAATTGAAGGCGAATTTCATGTAGAATGATACCTTTAAGTTTCTCAAGAATTTGTCCCATGGCTTTGGAGATTTCACGAAGAATATGCTGTTTGTTTGGTAAAGAGAGCGAGCGAGAGCGAGAGCGAGAAAGAGAGAAAATGGCTCAATTAAATGGCTTCATACTATTTGACGGGGGAATCGTGTGATTACGAACTACTACTTCACGAGGCTGGTGAGTGGCACCACTCAATCATTATTCTAATGAAATTGGCCTCTGCTCGTATTTAAAAAATATATATATATCTAATAAGATAAGAGCAAATCCAATGGAACCCCCAAAACACCATTTTGCATCAAAATAATTAAATACAATTTTGCCATTCTTCCATTTTGCAAAAAAATTGATTTAAGGATATTTGTGTCCATTTTTTATATAAATTTTTTAATATAATAAATTATTATTATTGTTGTTGTTGTTGTTGTTGTTGTTGTTGTTGTAATAAATTTTAATAATGTAATCAAGATAATTAAGGTATTAATTAATATAAGAATACTAAAAAACAAATTAAAATGTAACAAACTCGATTATTTAAAGTTAATTGATCATTTATGAGATGAATACACGAATTTTAAGAATTAAATTGTAACACTATTTCGACTTAGTTATATCATGATATCAGGAATCGAAATGCATTGCACTATTTTTAATGACTTCATTTCATATTTTTTTTATTTGTGTTGTTTCTATTAATTGTACTATATTTTTTAAATTTATTAACAAATTTAATATTTTCGTTAATTTAACTTAATTATTTATTTAGTAATTTATGTAATTGTAAAATAAATAAATTTTCAAATAAATAAATTGTTAAGAATTTAAAAAAGAAGAATAAAATTATTAGACATTATTCATTTGGTGTAAGTTTTGATGTAATGGGCTGTAAATGATTTTCAATTTGGTGCAAAATGGTATAAAACTTACCTTAAATTTTGGTGCAATGCTAAAGATGGCCTAATATGCACGAGTTTGTAAGAATCTCAAACTTTATTTACCACCATTATTCATTGAAGTTTATCAGCCCGTATGGAGTAGGTAAAAAGAGCTTTTGAGACCTGTAACTTTTCGATCAGTTTGACTAATTTTATTAAAATGTTTTTTCAACTTAAAAGAGCTTTAGAGAAAATTGATCCAATGTAGCTTTTCTAAAAGCACTTCTGAAATATGAAACTCTTTTAAAAATTAATTTTCAAACAAAAATTAAAATAGCTTCCTTCAAAAGCTCTTCTATAAAAAGTAAAAGTCATGTCAAATGAACATTTAGTCTTTGTTTGATTTAGCTAAACAATTGATAAAAGTTAAAGATAAAATTAATAATTAATTTTAATGATATATTTCAGGACACTCATAATTTTTCAACTACACATTTTATCATTTTTTTTTTAAAATTTACTAAAAATCTTATTTTTAGCAAAATCAAACAATGGCTTAGTTTGAAAAAAAAAAAACTAATGTAAAACCCTATTTCTCAACGTTTGAATGTCACAGTGGACTAACAAACGTTATTTTGTACTACATGAAAGGAATTATCGTGCTTCCACAAAAAGTCATAAGTATCAAAATCGATTTATGTCAGAACTCAATCTAGGGGGTGTTTAGGAGAGATTCTCAAATTTTACAGTAAATCAATTCTCATTTTCAACCACACACTTTTCAATAAAATAATATTTTCTATCACATTAATAATTTTTTCTTCTTTTTCAACCACACATTTCACATCATATCACTATTCAAAAATCAATTCTTCCCCCAAAAATTCCTCCCAAACAAGCTCCTAATACCAAATTGGATCTGAAACTTTGTTCTGGAGTAGCATTTGGAACCAATTAAGCCTTTTGGACACTCAAATCCTTAGGCACGAGGGAAATTAAAATGCCTCTAAGGAAATGGGAAATACATGAGAATGGCCCAAATAAAAGTTTCTATTTCCACTTTGGTCTTTGACGAATCTAAACATTAGAAACTACCTAATATACCCTTAATATAAAAATTTCAGCCAAGTTATTAGACTATAAAAAGATTTCAATTAAGTCCTTTAAATATTTAACTTAACAATTTTTTAAGATTTATTTGATTTTTGTTTACTCGTAGTAGACCTTATAAAAATTAGAAATGATTTTAAGATTTATTTAATTTTTGTTCGCTCAAAGTGACACCCCCCAATTTTTGGTATCAGAGCCATAGAGATCATGGAAATTATAATTACAAAAATAAATAATTACTATTTATTAAAAGAAGAAAGATGATGTTACATATTTTCAGAACCTGTTCCTAATATATTAAAAATAATAACATTAATTATAAATATATATATACACACACACGAAAAAATTATTAAAGAATTTGAAGAGGAAGAAAATAGTTTATATTATAAAGAAAAGTATGAATGATCATAGAAGTTGGTCCTTATTAAATAAGTACTTACCAGATGATATTAAAATAGAACTAGATAAAAAAAAAAAAAAAAATTAAGAACTAAAGAAGCCATAATAAGACATATAACATATATATGGTTACAACCAGAATAAGAAACAAAACAAACTATAAGAGAGAAAAAAAACTTATATAAGAATTAAAAGGAAAATGACTAATAATAATAAGAAAATACTATGAAAAAATAATAAAATGTCTAGAAAATACAACTGCAAAAGACTTAGATAATTACATAGAAAATGAAAAGAAAAATTTTAATTTAAAATTAAAAAGAAAACAATTAATAAAATTAATAGAACGCCTAAAAGAACAAAGAAAAATAAATGAGAATAAAATGTGTACAACATATTTTTATGTAAAAGCTTTAAAAGAAATTAAAAAAGGATAATGGATTTACTAGAAATAAAATTTGAAAAACAAGTAATAGAAAATTTTAGACTTGCAGTAAGATCTTATCAGATAAAAGGAGCTAATACATCTATGGTCCAACCATTAAGTTCATGGGGCGAATCAGATAGATTTCTCAACATGCAATTAAACTGGATAAGTGCATTTTTGTGGAAAACATATAAAAATCAGTGTTCTAAAATGCGTAATGCGTTGCGATGCGTCGAGGCCGAGAATCAAGAATCACAAGATAAGAATGCTAAAGAAAAATTACAAGATAAGAATGCTAAAGAAAAATTACAAGATATCCAAAATAAATTATCAATGCAATTTAAAGATTTAAAGAATATGATAAAAGAAGTGAAAGATATACACGAAGAAATTCTAAAAAGACTCCAAAGAAAATCAGGAGAAATTATAAATCAAGATAAAATTGATATGATTATTGAGAAAATAGAAAAATTAAATGAAAAAATAGAAAATAATAAAAGGATTATATCAATAGAAGAAAGAATTAAAAATAGATAACATGTATGACAAACTATTTAAGGTACAAAAGACCCAAAATACTAAACCAAAGGTTTAAAATGTCAGTACGTGAATACATCGAAGAACTTAAATCATTAATAAAAATATTAATAAATGATGTTCAAGATATAAGAAATGAAGTTCAAGAAGTAATAAATTATATAAATATATTAAAACTTGAAATTAGAGAGTTAAAAGATAATAGTAAAAGTAAAGATAATAAAATAGACAAAAAACTTATAGAAAAAGAAATGTGTAGAATATGAAAGAAACATTGAACAAGAAAATATAGTGATAGAAACAGGAAGTATGGATGATAAATTTAGAAAAAATATTTTACCTAAAATATTAGAAGAAGAAGATTCTAGAGAAAAATTATTAGGAAAATTAAAAGTTGAAGAAAAGCAAGATAATAAAGATGAATTAAGAGTTAGATTTACTTATAGATAATTTTGATCAATTAAGTTTAGAAAATACAAGTGAATACTAAGTCTTAATGAATACTGGAGGAGGACCTAATCCAACAGGAATTTCTAAAAATGAATTACTAGATTCAGATGAAAGCTATGCACCAATATACAATAAACCTTATAAACAATTTTATGACAAAGAGATAGAAAATCACATAAAGGAAGTAAATATAGAGACAGATTTGAACCAAATGATAATTATGATAAACCTATTAATCATGGAGGAACAAAATTAGATTTAAATTGTAAAATAGACACTAAAAAGGTCTTATTAACTTGGGCAGATTCCATGATATTATTTTTTTTATATAACAAAGATGATACATGAGAAAATACAAAAAGAAGAATAAATTTCTTAATAGTATCTTTTGAAGGTAATGTTAATAATTGGTGGGAATGAACAAACAATGATACAAAAACACTAATAAAAAGAAACGTACAAACAGAAATAATAAAGTCAGATAGACAAGGTATAGAAAGATTAGTAGAATATATTTCAGATGAATTTTTAGGAGAAAATTGGTTAAGAACTAGTGAAGGAGAATCAATAAGAGAAAAAGATAATGCTATAGTCAAATTAATAAATTTAACAATATGTGATATGTGTAAAATTAAAGAATATACTTGTGAATTTAAAAATTACTATTATGTTTAATTTTATAGTAATGAAAATTAAGAAGTATACCAAGATATGTATTATACTAAGTTATCAGGTTCATGGGGAATATATTTTAAAATAGAATTTGAAAAATATGTTAGAGACAATGTTGAAATACCAAGAACTTTAGGTTCAAGAATAAAATTTCTATTTGAAAGGCTCGCATATATATGTCAACAAAGACAATTATTAAAGAAATTAGAAAAATTAACTAGGATATGTTGTGAAAATATGGAAAAACCTATACCATGGGGATGTAATCCTAAAAGAAGAAGTAATTAAAGAAAATATAAAAATAGAAAGTTTAAAAAATTTAGAAATTTTACAAAAAAATATATATATATAAAACCTGGAAGAAGATATTATAAAAGGAAAAGTAATCCATATAAACAACAGAAAAATAAATCTTATAAGAAAGATAAAAGTCAATGTAAATCTTAGAATTGCGGAGAAATATGTCAAATAAGCCCTGATTGTAATAAGAAAAAAGTAAAAAATATTACAAATAGAATATTTACAAATAGAAGATGAACTAGAAATATCTG